ATTTAATTGAAATAAATATTTGAAATGTTTAAATTAAAAAATAAAAAATCAAAATAGAAAAATTCTTTTTTTTGATAAATAATGCATTAGTTTATTTCATCAATAATTTAGAATTACTAATAAATATTACTGTTTATTATTTGCCTTAAATAATTTAACATACTTGCAATCTGCTGATGCTAGCATTATTAATTCATTTAAAGTTTATATACTTTTTATTAATTAATTTGTAATATTTATATATTTAAATAATGAATTAATTATAAAAATAGATGTAATCATAAAATACACTTAAATAAAGAATTGAAGATTATGATGATGAAGAAATTTAATATACCAATTCTTAAATTAAAAATGAGTTTTACTACTTCACTTTGCTCTGAAGCTTAGAAAGCTGTAAAAATAAAATCATTTATAATTGTTGGATAAAAACAGGAATTTTGTCTCCAGTTAGCACTTTATCATTACCTTCTGATGAAGAGCAAAATGATAATGATAATTTAAATGAAATAGTAATTATTTGATCAATATAATGATATTGCTTCTAGTGAATTTATGAGTGTTGAGGAATTTATTTTAGTTGATGATGATGATAATTATGGAGAAATAGAAATTACAGATGAAGAAATTGTAAAAATGGTAAATCAAATGGATCCTAAAAAAGAATTAAATATACAAAACATCTACTTCAGAGGTGCTAGTTTCGTTAGATAAAGTATTATAATCCACCTAATAATTTTTACTATTGAACTCAAAAATAGAAATTTATTATATAATCTTAAAAGCAAATGAGTTTTTTTTGATAAGAATAGTAAGACTCAATCGATATTAAACAATTGGTTAAATTTTTAATATAATTTTGGGAGATTTTTATTGATATAATTTCTGGAGCATTTATTGCGTCTTCGATAATAAAAATAAATCACGTGTTTTCGATATACAATTTGAGTTTGGTATATAAAAAATTTTTGATGTAGCCGAACTCTATATACCGACATTTTTTCCTGAAACACGAGGCCGGTATATCGAGACTTGACTGTATTAAAAGATTAACGTTAAGTTATTCCAAAATCCCTATTTTTTTCAGAATCACATAAAATCCTTGAAAAGCACATTTACCAATTTTGTACGTCAATAAATCGGAACAAAAATATAATAAAATATTTGTGTTTGCCAAATTAGATTTACCTTTCACACTTTAATTATTGCAAATTATTATCATTATGTAAAAATTTAAGATATTTAATATAAATCTACAAGAACTATATTATATTAATTATTTAATTTTTTTGTTTTTTTAAAACGACTTGCTGGATTCTATATAAATCGATGACGAAATTATTCGCGGTAACTGCAGCAGGGATTGTCGCAACATATCCGGCTACATTTGGAGCTCCTGCAACGATGGACGGGTCCCAAAAGACATCGGATACTGGAATAGTAACCGCGTAGTTGGCAATGCCTGCGGCAGTACAACCGGTAGGTCGTTGACTATTGAATTGTAATGTTCCAAAGTCCCACTATAATATTTTAAAAGTTATATTTTTTAAGCTTTGAGATGCTTAACCACAGGAAATACAAACAGTGGATCGATCATCTTACTTCTAGAATAGATACTCCTGCTAAATTTGGATTTGTTGATGGTCTACTTCCTGCTGGTGCTGGTGTTTGGCGGGTCCATAACTTGGCCTAATATCAAAAAAAAAAAACTCTTAGAGACGAAAAATATAGAAATGGAAGCAGGTAATTAATTAGACATACCGTCATAGACCGATGATTTGAACCTGTCCTTTTATCGTGAAGCTTAATACCGAATACACATCTCACGTATTGTTGAAGCATCCAAGTTTCACATTTTGTGTTCCAAAAAGTGGTACTTTGAACTGAGCCTACTTCAACAATGATTCGTGCATGTGGATTTTCCTATGTGAAGAACATATTAATATTAAGAAAATAACTCAAAATAAATGTGATAATATATTATTAGACTTGATGTACCTCTAAATCGCCAGGAGGAGGCCCGGGATTCAAAGGATGTTGAACATGTACTATATTCGGTTGGATTGCAATATCTGCTGCTATTTTTATTCTGTTATTATAAGGATTGTAATGAACTGTGAGGAAAAATGTAAAATGTTATTTGTAAAATGTTATCATGATCCAAAGATCAAGAAGGACTAGAAGGGATTATCTTACATGTTTGGAGACCAATATCGATTGGTGGATCGTCGTCCACATCACCATTTGGAACCATAAAGTATTTAATTAAACGTAAAACAACTCCTTGGTGCACAGCTTTTGCCATGTCGATAATGTATACTTTTCCGTTTTCCCAGTGAAATTTATATCCGCTTGATTCGTTTTGTTCGAGAAAATGATTATATACTTCCTCCAAAACTTCCGAACCAATCTGAAGAGGTAAACTGCAGCCGTATATGAGTCGGCACTGAGCAGATTAAGAATCATACGTGAAGCACACTTACCGACTTTCTTTTGGAGTATTTTCCGGCAACTTTGGATAGTTCGGATATTTATGAAATGCAGTCTCAACCTTATTTTGAACTTTCCTTGCTGTTGACTTCCAACCAGACCTTGAAGACTTCATTTTGAAGAGGATGAGAAAATTCGATTAAGTAAATGATCAAGAGGGTGGTTTTCGTGAGAAATATAAAAGTTAAAGAATTGCCCTTAAATCAATCAATAAGGCGTAATAGTTTAAATTTTAGGAGTAGGGGGTAATTAAGTTAATTATATAGTTAAATTGATATTACGTAACAATAAAGCAAGGAGTGATACGAAAAGTTGTAGTGATTTGTTGAGTATGATTTTTCATAGTCAACTGTACGTTAACGTTAACTCCTGGCAATTTAGTATCCGGAGACTTATCTTCAAACACGGTGGAAATTTTGATTTATCTTGAAATTCAACAACTGTTCATTATAATAAAACTTCATTCATTATAAAGAGAAAAGATTTGTGCTCATTATCATTTAATATATTGCTTCATTTACAAATCTTTAATTAAGAAAATTTTTTTTTTATAAAAATACACATTACAAAAAGAAGTCAAAATATCCTCGGATTGATTTGATTTAAATTTTAATTTCAATTTGTTAATTAATTAGCAATATAAATCTTAATATATACAGATATTTTAAATCAATCAATTAATTATAGAAGTAAAATAAAATTCATATAATAAATTTAATATACTTTATAATAAAATAAAATAATTTTAATTACAGGGGTGTTGATTTTTGTAATTCTGATTACCACAAGGATCAGAGAGAATGGACCAAATTGTAACATGAAGAGTAGAAACAGAATTTTATGTAGCGTTACGGCTTTATCTTTCTTCAATAATTTTGTGGAAACCATCATGTATAAATATGAAAAAATCGGTTGACGAAAAAATAAACGCAAAAGGGTGTCATCGGCTATAATGAAAATATACGAAGAATAATTGAATTTCTTATTTATGGGTAGCACAATATTTCAATTCTCGTTTATACTTTCGTTCTTTCAAAAAACTACTAAATGTAATCATTTCACTGGAAATTCTGATGTGTGTAAGGGGAGGGGAAGATTCCGAAGTGGACATGTCCACTTCGGAATCTTCCCTCCCTACACATTAAAGATAATTTAATTCCACAAAATAATTTTGTACCATTAATTGCTTACATATTTAAAACTCTGATAAATTGATTTGAATTGAATTGAACTTTAATAGTGTTTAGACATACAAATATAATTCACATTTCGTCAATATTCACCACTTACTAACTTGCACGTTTTGTATTTGCATCCAATTGGTTATCACTGAACGAGCGTTACGCAACAAGCGATTTTTAATTATTCTTTATTATTATTTTCGAGAAGAATGGAGCATTGTTTACAACTACTAAACGAAAACCTGACACAATTACTAATGTTGTATACTTTATCAAATATGTAGCAATTGTTGAATGGTCAGCAGGTTTATAAATTGATTCAATAATCCTGCAAAAAAGATTCGTTTAACCTTATCCTTATTATTAAAAAAATATAATAATGATTTATTATTGAGATTGATAAACGAGTACAAAGGATAAATTAACTCCACCACCTTAAAATTTGAAAAGTGGCGACTTTTACTCAGGTGAAATGTTATTTTGTCTTTTACTCAGACCTGTTTTATAAAATCATTATTATGGTGATACGAAAAAATCATATTCCCATGTTTTTTTATCTCTTCAATTTTCTAAGAATTTATTAAATTTATTTAATACAGGTTATTTGTTACACAACTTTATAATCTATATGAGCAAATAATTCTATATTAATTAATGTCACATTATTACCATTTACGTATTTATCCGTGATCTGACGAATTAATCAAACTTCAATTGAGTTCAAATAAAAAAAAAAAAAAAAAAAAAAAAAAAAAAAAGAATTAATGGTGTAACTTTTTTAAAGGACAACATGTGAATAATAAAGGAATCTTTAATTTAAAACGTTTTTTTTTCTCAGTGTCGTTAATTAGTAATGGGTTAGACCAGATCCTATTCATCGATCTTTGCCTAATTAACTACTAAAAAATTTACATCATTTTATGAGAATGTTAAACCTTATTTTTACTGCTTTATAAAGTAAAGCTATTAATTGACAATAGTAGCCAAAAGGGGTATATCCGGATGTCGTAACGAATTCCATGAATTGAATCTTTCGGAGCACTAATAATAATTTTTAAGAGTGTTACATTTTCTTTCAAAAATACATTCAATTGGCTTTATAAAATATTAATCTAAAAAACATTTTTTTCATATATTAAACTTTATTATACATTAATTTAAAAAACATTTTTTCATATATTAAAGATATTCAATCGATCTTATAAATACATTCTCTTTTTTTCTTCATTTCCTTTCAACAGACGCTCTTCACATTTTATTCCTCTTGATTATATTAAATTTGTTCGTAATAAATTTAATATTTACTTCAACTCATCTCTAACATTTCTAATGGTAAAACTTGAAAATTGGTATACACGAATGTGTCGTTCTGATTAAAGTAAAAAGGACATATACTGCGAATGCGATTTTCGGATAAACATTTATCGTTGTGATAATAAATTCTTCGCAAGGGCTAGTTGGGTAACGCTTACATTGACATCATTAAATGTAATTTTAGGAGCAGCGTTGCTTTATTATTTAATTAAAGTAAAGAAGCAGCCATTCTTTCTTTCTGCTACGAGAGAAAGAGGCATTATCAGGCCTAGACCTGTACATTCATTTCAGTTGATAGCTTTACTTTATAATGCTGGTAAGCTAAAGGTCAAGATTTCCCATTCGAAATTCGAATATCAAACGAAATCCAAAGTTCATTCTTTCATATGATTTTGTTTGAACATCATTAACGTAATTGATTCTCATTTAGTGTTACTATTTAATGTGATATGCTTGATCACCGAATCATATCCTTACGTCATTTTCGCAGAATGTAAGCTTTTTAAATCTATTTCAAATCTTTTATTTTTTATTTGATTGGAGATTCATTTTTTGTCATATGACGAAATAGTGGGTCATTTTTTACCGCTTGCAGTATGCGTTTCACTTGCAATTTTCTGCCCAATAAGCCTAAGTAAGTTGCAAATCGCTTTTTTTTCTTTATTTTTTTCTCAACGAATTCTAATCAAATTTACAATTCATGAAATAGTTTATTCGACACCAAACATTGGATGTTCCAACGCGTTTACAAATACAACATTTATAGATGTAATGGCATTTTTTTTTATGATTAATCCATATTTATTGATCTTACCAACAGCATTACTATCCGGATATTATGCTGATAGGGATGATATTGAAACCGCAATGCTTTATTTTAAAATAAATTTCATAAGTTGGACAATTGTTTCCATCGCATACTTTCTTCTGGTGGTTTATTTTTATCATAAGCTTATTAGCGTGATTAATTGCCAAATTAAAAATCAGGTGGAAAGTCAAGGAAGCATACAAAAGATTGGTTCCAATATCATCTGTAGTAATTCTGATATCAATACTTGGAAAAGGGCAAAGAGAAATGTTCGTATCGTGTTAAATGAAAAATGTTTTTTTCTTATTTATTTCATTTCATTTTTTAAATATTTCGTTGATTTTATAGATAAATGTTCCATTGATAACCTTTTTAATGATGTCGTTGTTTAATATCATCGTTATATTACCGTTTGCATTATTTTATAAGGAGAAGGTTGCATACGTTGAAGGATTGAATGTTTTCTATTATTTTTTTTGGAACATATTCTCACCATTTATCGGACTCATCAGTGGAATAATGATTTTCTACAAGTATGTTCCCTGTATCAAACGTGACGAGTAATTTCATGTGACACTAAATTTGATTTTTTCATCTTCAGTAGCGGCATTTTTACCAACAAGAAGTCGATACGCAATTTTGAATCTCGAGAATGTCAAATTAATCGAATTGAAATGAACTTTACGAGTATTAGTTTTGATACTAATAATCAATTATTGAGTAATCAATTATCTAGTAATCGAATATCTATAAAATTTGATCATTAAGCTACTTATTTTTTTTTTTTTCATTTATTTTTCATTTTTTTTTCATTTTACATTGTATTTTTTCGTTTCATTTTTTTTTTTTATGTGTAAAATAAAATTTAACCCTCAAAAAAAAAAAAAAAAAATCTGAACAATAAATTACATATTAGTTGTCAATAAAAAAAATCTGTTTAAAAGTTCAAATAAAAATAAATTTGATTGATGTACTTAATGTAGAACAAAATCAAATGACTGTTTTTCTTTTTAAAAAATATTAATCCGGATTTATGCATAATGTGATCACAAGGCTGCATAATCATGCGGGTAATGTCGCTGTTTCACGAAACAAGTAAATAACAACAACGTGTATTGAATAATGTTCTACATATTTTGGAATTGACTCTAGTTAAAAATTCGTAAATGATCAAATTAAAATCATATTTATTAAATAATAAATAAATAAATATTGGTCTTCGACTATTATTAATATCTCGCCGTCCAATAAATTAGTTTATTGATGGTCTGACCAATGATTTTTGTAATCAAAATATTGATGAAACTCAATCCAAATTTTCACAAGTATTAGAGTTCGGAATTATTAGAGAATAATACGAAAAATTTAAATCATTGTGGTTTACTTAATCTTACTTAAAAACAATCATGCGAAACAACTTTGTGAAACTTAGGAAAATACAAGTTTTTAAGAAAACTAGTTCGATCTTTTTTTCTTTTTTTTAAAAAAAAGGCTTCATGATATTTCGTGAAATTGATTTAGTTCGTTCATTTGTTCATTACGAACAAATTTTGATTACCAATCAATTAAAATATGGGCGTTCGGCCGAGGAGGACTATAAAAAAAAAAAAAATCACTATCTATAAAAATAAATGTGTGACAAATAACAGAAGAAACACGTACAATATCTATAATTTCTCTAATCAGATATCTACTAGACGAGTCTTTCTTAGATGGATTTTGAGAAAGGGATCTAAACCATCAAGTTTTATTAAAATAGAAAGTAAAAAGATTAGGATCTAAACTAAAATTTCAGGATAAACCTTAAGGATCAATTTCATCATCTTTAGTATATTTTCTAGTTGCAAAAATCCTTCTAAAATTACAATATTTTTTTTTTTTTTTTGTTAATGTTAAATCTGGGTTTAAAAAGTAAAAAAATTTAATTTTTTTGAAACTTCTTTTCTAATACAAAGCGTTCATATGTTAGGCTTATTAACGTTTCTTCTTTTTTTACCATCTGAAAACCCATGACCACGTGACATACGGAGCTGTTATCGGACAATCTCTTGTCACTTCGGAATTTTTATTATAAACAATTTAGGATGATTATTCGGATGAGGTAATTTTAAATGTCAAATTAAAAATGTAACGTCCTGCCGGGTTTGTGAACACAATTAATTGTTGAAACATGTTACAGAAAGGTGATATATTTGATTGTCATTTTGATTTTATTATACATACACATTATGCATGTCGTAACACGATCCCCTTAAATCATTGGTTGTTTGTTATCATTGTAATTCAAATTTTGCATTTATTTTTTGTCTTTAAGGAAATTATTCGAGATTGATAACGATAACGCGCAAATCTAATTCTTTTTGGTGGACTCGGGAACCCATATCGCATTAAGATAAGATTTTCGTATCAATTCGCAAATAAAATGCTTTGTGGTTTTTTTTTTGAAAAATATCATTGTAATCATAATAATGTTGCTCTTACATATTTTACGAACATTACAATTCACTTTTGCTGCAATAGTTTTTGTCAATGGTACTTTCATATTTTCAATAAAAACTTTGTTTTATTATGAATTTATTAAAAAATTCTTGTGAATTTCAAAATTTTTAGATGCAATCATTTCGACCGGTTATGTGGAATACATGATTGGGTGATTATAACGATTTTCTTCAAATGTAAATTTATTAAATAATGAATTTTATTAAAATTCCTTTTTTTTTTTTTTTTTTTTTTCTTTTTTCACAGCAACCCACCTTATCCCGCTTACCTTCTTATTCCAAACTTCGTCACGCTTTTACTAAGTGGTACGATAAAGGATGAAATTTTTTTTTTTTTACTTCTCATTGTAATAGAAATATTTACGGATGAATTTGTTTTCGATTATAGGGTATTACACGATATCAATAGAAAAGCAATGGAAAAAAGTGCCAAATAAATGGGATTTTCTATGTCAGGGGTAAGGTTTCCTATATGCACAACTTCAATGAATTTATTAACTTCTTGTTAAACGTATAAATATTTCTCAATTATAGATTCCTACTTACCTTATGGATTCTTTATTGTACGTACATGCTTTGCAAATTAATTCTTAATTGATAAAAAGGTAAAAACTGACATGTTTCTAATGTTTTTTTTTATAGCCGCCTTTAAGTTAACGCATGTAAGTGGATTCGAAATTTGGAGCAAGGCTGTCATTCTTCAAAGTGTAATACCTTGGGAAAAGGGTGAATTGGAAACTTTGGTATTTATCGGCTTAGAAGTCGGTAACGCAACGATAGCTTTTGGTTACGTTAATATGTTTTTATGCGTTGCTTCATTCACCACTTTGATATGGACCTATTGGTCAAGTCATTCACGAGGTGGTAAAATTATTGATGGTGGAATTGCCGCCAATCATGTCGAGACCAAATTTACCCCACAGAATATTGTGTGATAGATCATCTTTTTTTTTTTAAAAAAAAAAAAAAATTTGTATCATTAGTTAGATTGTATTTTTTATTGTAAGGAAAAATTGTGTGATATAGCGCAGATTGTACTTTTATTACTAATATATTAATGAATGCGCACATCAAACACAATATATTTTTTTTTTCGTATTAATAATAAGATTATGTTCTATGATATCCCATAACATTTGTCATTATTACCTCAAATTCGATAATCTATACAAAAACTTGCCATGCTTAAACTTGACAATCGGTCGATAAATTGTTTACTCCGACCAAAAGATTGCGTCGTTGTAACAAATTTTGATTTCATTGGTTACACAAAAAATCTTCGCTCGCGAGGAATTTAAACGTTTATTTTTTTGATACTTACGAACCCTCCCTACTTCATCCGGTGAAGGAGTATGCCCAGGTAACCTCCCTCATAATCTTTTGGATTTTTTAAAGTGCGGAACAACGTACGTTTTTTCTTTAAATATAAACGATACTTTATATATTGTTACACGTAAGAATCAGATTTATGGCGATTTTTTTTTTTAAGACTTTTTCGTAGAAATTATATCTTTTACGAAAAATTCTATCAATATACTTTACTGTAAATATGCAAAAATAAATCTTGCAAAAAAAAAAAACAGAAAATATTTGATGGGAAGGCATAAAATCATGATTATTGTAATTATCATAATTATTTTAAGAGTTATGAATAAATGAAAAATTTTAAGAAAAAAAATTTTGCGTGATCGATTGGAATATATTTATTGAACTTTTTTAAAGAACTTTTTCGAATAAAAAAAAAAAGAAGTGAGTTATGAACCATTTGAATTCAAATTTTAAGTAAAAAAAATAAATGGGCATTTGGTTTCCATCCAATTCTCGCAAACAAGATAAGCCGTAATTGCTTTGGTATTGATTACCATTAAGTGTTAAAATTAGGAAGAGCGGGCACCAAAGTAGCAAATTTCAATGGTTTGAAAGATGTGTAACTGTAGCGGAAACCTCCGTTCGTTAGGAACAAGTTATGGTAAAATCCGTTATAAGTATGATTGTAGTTTATAAATAATAAAATCATGAAGTGTTAAGGGAATTCGAAAAAAAAAAAAAACCCCCAAAATGAATTTCGTGTTTTTTATTTCATTTCATAAATATACAAATATACAAGAAATTAAAGCATTCCTTTTTTTCTCCTAATCGAACCTCGACAAGATTTTTTTCATTTTTTTTTTTTTTATACGCAAGATATATTATATATTTCTCTTGTCAAGACTTTTATATTTTTTTTTACCTTATGTAATTGTTTTAAGTTTATAAGATGTCGCTGACAGTAACGATTTAAATTACGAAAAGCTTTAACCAAGTATATTAGTTCTAGTGCTCCGTAAGATCGGGTCGGGTCAGGTTTAAGGCATATTCTAACTCGAATAATTACATCGGATTCGATTCGAATTATCAAGGGTATTATTAATGGCGAAAATAAAAAAAAAGTGTCATCAAGTTTATTTTATTTTTAAAAAATATCTCTCTCTCTCAGTTTTTTTTTTTTTTTTGTGATATTAATCCTAATTATTTTTTTCTTTTTACATCTTTTTCCACCAGAATTTCAAACACATACAGTCGCAAATTGTATTAGCTTCAAGATCACATCTTTTGGTTGATATCAGATCGGTTACACCAGAAAATTCGTTCTACTGGAACACTTGTTGTTGCTTTATAAAAAATGTGTTAGTTAAGGCCGTACAGAAAATTTTTTTTTAGATTCTCGTGACATAAAATTTTAAATTTGACACGGTCACCCAGATTTTTTTTTTTTATACGTACAGTATTTTATTTATATTACCCGCTTACTAATTGTTCGCCCGTGATATTTCATATTGATATTTTACCGGATTCACTATCGGAGTTGAATTTTCCGTGAAAATATCAACATGACGCAATTACCGTGATATATCAAACGAAAATCGTACTGCTAAATATTTAATATATATTATTTAATAAGCTTGATATAGAAAAAAGCATTTTTTAAAAAATATTACATTATTACAAGCATTTATTATTATAAATAAAAATTATTTAAAATAAAATGTTAACATTTTGAAAGTGACAATTATTAAACATCGGAGCCTTTTTACTAATCTTGTGATTTAAGAATTGTAATTTGAGAAGATTGTAATGGGTTCTTATTGTAATCTAGAATTTGTTGCACAGGAATAAAAATTTACTTGTCAATGTCAGTATTTTTAGATGTTTTAGGTTGTAAACATGGATTGTATGAAAGTTCATTAACAGTATTAAATTTTACGGTCTTCTTTGATTTCATTTTTTAAGAAATAAAATTAAAAAAAAAGTATTTTTACGTCACAATAACATGTAACTTACATAGTTTCTTATCACGGGCGTTAGTAATCGGGAAATATAATAGTTATTTACCGCTCAAATCGCCGACATCATCAGGCTGCGCCGTGACGCCTTTTGATATCTCTGATTTCGCGGTAAAGAACTAATACATATTTCGTATTACATAAATAAATTAAGTTTGTTAAATCAATCTGTAGATCTCTTACAATCTCTTTTTCTCAAAAAGAAATTGATCAATGGATCATTGTTATTTTATCACACTATTATTAATTAAGCCAATAAAAAATATCGCATAATTCGCTCATCTAGAAGTGTACTATCGGTAAAGTCGATAGGTTTACTCATTATTTATTTGTTACAAATTAAAGTCGCGTAACGTAAAACAAAATATCTATTCACTGTATGTATATCGATATTGTTTAGATCAGATCGCTTGGCACCCGGTCAGACTCGGGTCAAGCAAAAACGTGAATTCGCGTCATAAAAATGATAGTCCCGACTCGAGAAAAAATTTTGAGTCGGGTCAAACAACCCGGGTCGACTTGATCGGCTCGGAGCACTTTAAATTATTAATATAAAAATATAAGTATATTATTAAACTGTAACAAGCTTTGCAACACATTATTCCTGCAGCCTTAGAGTCCGTAATAAGAAATCTTACAAGAAAAGGTTTGGTATGATATAAATTGATATTGCGAAGCGTTCGAGGTGAATATCTACCAAATTCCTACAATAAAATCAATAAAAATTAAAAAGATAAATTATTCGGAAACTTGGGAACAAAGTTTAATAAATTTTCCAGAATTTCGTAACACTAAAAATTGATCATCTTATTAAGTGTGAGAAATGTTTTTGTACGTGAGAGAGAGAGACTGCGATGCGAAGAAAGTCATTTTAAAAAAAATAATAAAATCACAAAAGTATTGCGACCTGCAATGAAAAGACTTTGTGTCCTGTCACTGAGACCTGTCCATGCAAATGTTTGCGTTCTCAGCTTTTTTCATACTTAATGTTAGGGTATCACCATATAAATGCAACAGAGAAAGTATTGTGCCTGCGTGGTTATTTTTAATTTTTTTTGGGGGAAAATCAAGTTGTTAATTCTTGCTTGACCCAACTGATTTAATGTCACGAATCGGAACATAAAATTGATTGATCACCAATGCTTTAAGTATAACGTATAAATTCAAAATTCAAAAGAACATTATTACAATATTTTCATTAGTAAAATTTGTGGGTTAACGACAGTTCTACTTAAATTTGAGATTATTTCTGATGCTTCTTTTAAGAATAAAATTCAAACCATAAAGGAATAATCCAATACAAATACAAATTAATACATTATAAGATTTGAATACATTTTAATTAGAGACGAAGAATACGTTTGAAATACCGGTTTCAACTTCGATATACTGTAAATCTCTAATTGAATAAATAAATATTGGAAGACGATTGAAATATCTTGGAATGAATATTAAATGCACAATTTAACGAACATTTTGGGTGTTCATAAAAGAGATGGATAATCTAGTCGTGTGTTTGAAAATAATTTATGTTTAACGCATATGATCGGCGTAAACATAATATGACGCCTTTTAATTTATCCGAAGTGATTTAATTTACTATAAATAGTCTGATGTTTTATTTTTTTTTTTATGATATTTTTTGACATGGCAAAAGTCATCAATTCTGTCTATGTTCATTTATTATCTCCATCGTATAAAGAAATCATTAGGAATTGGTTAAAAGAAGATGTTCCATCATTTGATTATGGAGGATTTGTCGTAGGAGAAGCTCAAGAAACTGCTATATTATATGGAAAATCCACGGTGAATATTTTTTTACTTTTTTTTAAAAAAAAAGTATATATATATTTTTTTTTTAATTATATTAAATCAAATTCACTTCAGGGAGTTTTAGCTGGTTTACCATTTTTTGAGGAAGTTTTCAATCAATTAGATTGCAGGTTGTTCCCTCAGTCGTTTTAATAATTGTAAACGTAAACATTAAAACAATATTCAAATTTACCTCCTTAATTGAGATTATTAGAGTTGAATGGGATCTAAAAGAAGGAGATCATTTCGAACCAATAAGTGAAGTTGCACGCGTTTATGGTAAATCATGTGATATCTTATTGGGAGAACGTACCGCATTAAATATTTTGGCCCGTTGTAGTGGTATAGCTACGAGGTATGTCATTTTTATTTCGGAGGAATTGATTTAACTTGATTTACTTTGATTTGATCAGTTAATTAAGTCATCCTTTTGTAGGAGTAGGAAATGTATTGAACTCAAGGAAAAGTTTGGATTTCAAGGTATAATTGCTGGAACGAGAAAAACCACCCCTGGTATAAAAAAAGAAATTTTTTTTTTTTTTTTTTTTTTAAAAAAATTATAATAATAATTTTAAAATAGATTACTTACGTAATGAATTTACAAGGATTTCGAATTGTTGAAAAATATGGTATGCTAGTTGGAGGAGCTGATACACATCGCATGGACTTATCTTCAATGATAATGTTAAAAGATAATCATATTTGGAGTCAAGGGTCTGTAACAAGAGCTGTTGAACGCGCAAGAAAAGTGGGAGGTTTTTCATTACGGGTGGAAGTAGAATGTCGTAGTGAGCAGGAAGCCGATGAAGCTATTGAAGCCGGTGCGGATATTATTATGTTGGATAACATGAAGGGTGATGATTTAAAGCAAACTGCTTCAATATTGAAACAAAGATGGAAGGGAAAGAGAACTTTTTTGATTGAATCGAGTGGTGGAATTACCGAAGAGAATATAACTGAATATTTTTCACCTGGTAAGTCTAATTAATCATTTGTTTTCAAAATGTTAAATTCATTTTATATTCAAATTTTATTATTTTGTTGAATAGATATTGATATATTAAGCATGGGCAGTTTGTCTCAAGGGGTTCCACATATAGACTATTCTTTGAAGATTAAAAAATGATTATTCTTTTTTTTTTTTTTTGTTAAATCAAACGCAAGTAATTTTATAAAACCATAAAAGCATTATGAATTTGGATTTTCAAATTTCAAAAATCAAATGAAATTCTAATTCAAAAGTTCCAAAATGATAAAATCTTATAATTTTTTATATAGAAGATTATTATATGTTGTGTTAGTTTCACGTGACATATACGTTATTTGTAAAAAATAAAATCAGGCGAAATTACCCGTTTTTTGTGTGATGGATGTAGTTTAATTTGTATTCTAATAACACATGCGACTTTTTAAATATCTATGAGTACTAAAGTCAAATTACACAAGTTTGACATTAGCAATTATTGCGACTTGTGGTATTTGTCATAGTCTATAGTCGAAATGTTTCCGTTGAAGTTCAAAATCTTTAAAACAACAATAATATTCGCTTTTACCATAAAACATGCAACCTTAAACATACGCAAGGTCGAAAATGATTGATTCGGAACACGATCGGGAAGTTCCATAGTATTTGCACGCGACTTTTCTAAATCACCTCGATGACGCAATGCCTGCTATTGAAAATTGAAAAGCAAAAAATCTGAACCCTTCAGCTTAGAAGAGTTCGAAATAACGAAAGGTACACAATTTCATTGATTCCTTATTTTTTAACTATTTCCCGCAAGTATCTCGTGAGAATCGGTTCCGACAATAAGAATTTATTATTAAAATGCCATTTTTACAAAATGTTAAAACAATGATCTACATCTTTAAGGATTTACTGTGATATTTGGTGAATTTTTGGATAGCTGAAGACGACGTTGTATTTTTAATATATGATCCCATCTCTTTTTAGCAAGAGTGAAACCACCTTTATAAGATTTTTCATAGCATTCAGAAGCTAGTTGAATATTTTTCTTTGTACCAATACCTTCTTCATAACATCTACCCAATTCCATTTGGGAAGTAACATTACCAGCTTCGGCACTAGCTAAATATTGATTGAAAGCTCGCGTAGGATCTTTAACAGTACCATAACCCCTTTCATAACAAAAACCTAACATCCATTGACCTCTACTATTACCATTATCACTACTTGTTTTAAGTAATTGAAAAGCCTTTGTCCGGTCTTGTTTAACACCATAACCAAAATAATAACATCTACCTAAAAAATATTGACCATTAGAATTATTTGAATCAGCAGATTTTTGATAATATTTAAAACCTTCGTGTTTATCTTGTGCGGTGCCAATAGCACATTCCAAGCAATATCCAATTAAACAAGCGAACCTTACATCATTATGATATTTGAGTAATAATTTAAATGTTGATTTGTGTTCTCTCATACGATTATGTAAATATCCTTTTAACTTTGAGATCATTGTAGTTGTGTCCGGAGATAATTCTAACAATTCTTCAAAGAATTTTAACAATTCTTCCAAGAAGGCTTTATCTGTATTTTGAATTCTACCGTGCGTTAATGATGTGGGAGATGATGGTGGTGAATTAAGTGAACTACGACGTGATTTGGGTAACCTCGGACTTTTTAAAGAACTACTAACGTTTTGAGAATTCGATGATGCAGAACTGTTAATTTTAAGTGATTTGATTGAAGTAACTTCCGAAGCATTGTCAGAACGATTATTATAATAAACTTTATCCATCTGATTAACTGCATTCATCATTTCCGATGATAAGCCCAAATCCGCTGAACATGATCCTGTAATACCATTTGAATGACAACTATGATAAGTCTCGTCAATATCATTAATCGCATTCGATAAATCCGATGAAATTTCCGTAAATGATGAAACACTCCTTCGATTGATGGACTTGCTAATATTTGAACGACTGTTATTCTCAGTTCCCTTGATATTGTTACTGCTAATCACTTTAGGTTTAGACCCATCAAGATGAATGTCATTAAGATCTTCTAATACTTTATGAATATTTGGTCGATTATTTGGATCATTATCCCAACATTGAGTATAAATTTTAATAAAAGCTTTGGGAGTTCCAGCAACCGGACTCTCTCTCTTTCCTTTTGATATTCTATTAGCAAGTTCTAATTGAGCCAACGGTGTTTGCGTTAATAAACGAAATGGTGATCTACCACTTGATATTTCCCACAATAAAACTCCAACACTATATATATCTGACTTAACATTTCTTTTATGTTCTGGATTTGATAAACATTGCGGTTCAATATATGCTATATCTCCTTTTACATCTGATATCGCACTTGACATTTCACCCAAGTGCTTTGATAATCCAAAATCACTTATTTTTATTTCTCCCTTGTTCACCAATATATTACTAGAGTGCTAGAATATCGAAAAGGTTTAATATCAAATTTTGTAGAAATAAATAAAATGAAGAGCTTTAATGGTAAAGGAATCTCACCAGGTCTCGATGAATTATGTTCTCTTCGTGTAAACATGCTATGCCACTTGCCAATTGTTTTGCAAGATTTAATTTATCAGTCCATGATAATGATGTGTGTTTAGATAAATAACGTCGGAGAGTTCCCCCATCTGCATACTCCAATACCAACAAATATTTGTTAAAATTTGGATCTATCAAAAAAAAGGAGGTTTAATTATTAACTTCACGAAAAGGAATTGTCAAACAATTCAAATTACTGTGCTGTTATACTTTGACTAACTCCGTAAAATCGCAGTATGTTTGGATGATAATCAACTTTTCTATGCAATTTCAACTAAATCACCCGAAAAAAAAAAAAAATATTACGATTAGTTACTTAAAACTCACTAATGAACTTGATAAAATTTATACAAGTACCTCTTTGATTAATTCGTTTAATAGTTGTGGATTAACATTCTCTTCTAAGTTACTTAAAAGACTTTTTAATGCAACGATCATCCCACGATTATCCCATGCTGCTTTATATACTTCTCCAAATGCACCTCTCCCAATTACTACAACGTCCGAAAATTTTTCATATGCGTGAAAATTTATATGTCCTTCTTTTATAGCTTGTTCTAACCACTTTGTATTTTCCATAAAATATTTATTTTTTTTTTGGGTAAAAATTGGAGAATTAAGAAGGTATAGAATATTTAACTAGTGTTCATCGTGTTCATCATCGTATGACAATGTTTAGTCGAGAGTTGAATAATTAAAAGATTATCACATCTTTGCACTAAAAAAAAACAATAAACTGCATTACACATTGTTTATCTTAATCGTTACACGCACCAAAAATTCTACTTCCACGTGATCATAGACTTAATGCCAGACAAGGTCACGTGGGTAGAATTCTTAGACCTTATCCTAAGCCGCAACTGCATGTCACGTGACATATACTTTTAAAGATATTTATTTATACATGGGGTTGGACGATAAGGGTCTACGCCCCCTCCCTAGGTTAAGTTCTTGGTGGTCGATACTGGGGTAAATCGTTGACAGTCACAAGTCACGTGAAATGTTAATCTATTCGATCTCCACAAATTTAAATATATGGGACCTTTGCAATAGAAAAGGGGAAACGGCTGGAATGAGTTAATGCTAACTCTGAACCTTTGGCATATAAAAGTAAAATTGATTTTTTCCGGCAGTTTCCCCCCTTTCTATTGCAAAGGTTCCATATATTTATTAATACGAAGAACAAGTCAAGTTTAATTAATAAATGAAAATGTTACGTAAAATACTGAATATAAAATTTGTTCCCGATTGGATATTTATAAAAATTTTAATATGTGTATTTCGTTATGATAAACAACTTAACTCACCAAAGGTGATTTAATTAAAAAAATAAAAAGTTTAATTTGAAATCGTCGATTTTCTAATTTTTAAGTGCCCGGTACATATCTGTTACGTAATAAAATGCGCAAAGTTTGATCTTTCATTCGGCATGGTTGAACCTTTCTAAAAACCGTAATGATTTCAGTAATAATTTCCAATATTTGCTTTTATTATGATCAATTTTGATTTAATTTATTTTAAAATAAACATCGCAAATTATACGCGTACCGGTATAAATAATTATAGATGTTTATTAAATGGTATTCCGTCGTTCTTCTGAATGTATTTGGATTTCTTTCCATAAAAGAGTAATGCGTTAAATTTCATAAGACATTAGTTATTTTTCTAATTACAGGTATGTGAATTTTTTTTTAATATCCTATAATTAAAAAGATTTATTTCGTGTATGCGTTTCAATTTTTTTTGTTTGTTTGTGAATCAGTTTAAATGGAAAAAGAATTGCCTTATTACTTTGTTCTTTGATATAGGTTTTTCTCATACTATCCTATTGTAAGTCTTTTTCCATGTGGAAACGTACAAAACGGTTTATTTAGCCCTATAATTTGGTAAGACAATCATCTAATCGGACAAAAAAAATTTTTTTTTTTTTACAAAGATTGGGGACAATCTTGAATATAAATATAAATATCTATAATATGTTTTAAATCATCCTTTCTTCTCTATTTACGACAATATTAATTATGAGGTGGAAATTTTTCGTCGTCGTTTTATTCTTTTTAGTCGTTTCATGTATCAGAATATCCTACAATTTTTTTGTTTCTGCTGTTCCCACCACCGTAGCTGAAAGTGGTGTCACAGCACAAGGAGATACGAAACGAGGAACGTTTAACTTGAAAAATTCCATATTTGCATCATCTCAAACAACATTTACGATTCCGCATAAAACACGTGAATTCGATTTACATCTGTCAAAAGTTGATTTATCCCCTGATGGGTATCAACGTAAAATCTGGAGTATGAATGGTTCATATCCTGGTCCTACGATCGAGGTTAATAAAGGAGATCGAGTTTTAATTCACGTACATAATAATTTGGAAGAACCCACGTCAATTCATGTACACGGATTATATCAAAGAGGAACTCCTTGGATGGATGGTGTCCCTTTTCAAACGCAATGTCCTATACCTAATAATGACACTTTCACCTATGATTTTTCTGTTCCCGATCAAAGTGGAACTTATTGGTAGTAAGTATAAACGGAATGACATATCGATTAATATATCTAAAATTTAAATTAATCTCTTTCTTTCTTTCTTTTTTTTGGATAGCCATTCACATTACTTCTCTCAATACGTCGATGGAATGGTTGCAGCATTTATCATTCATGATCCCGAGGATCCGTACCTTAATGATTATGATGAGGAACTGATTGTTATGATAACAGATTGGTATCATGAAGAATCCGCAATTCTTTTAAAGCGATACCTTTCTCCTGACAGCCAAGGGGATGAGGTAAGATGTTGTTAGGACAAATGGATCATTTTAAGCGTCATACTTATATTTATTTGTTTAGCCTGTACCGAATAATGGACTTATCAATGGAAAAAATAATTATAATTGCGAATGGGCGTCAGACAAGTCAAATTGCTTCGAGAATGCGGGTCACTCGAAATTCACATTCGAAACCAACAAAAGATATCGCATTAGAATTATCAACACGAGGTTTCAATTTACATATGAAATCGGTCATGTTGTTTCACGCGATATCATGAATTTTTAATCATCAATTCTTAAAATTTTAGCGGGTTCTCGGCGTTCACATTTTCAATTGATAATCACGAGATGGAAATTATAGAAGTGGACGGTTCGTTGACGCAAAAACATAAAATCAATCGCTTACCCATTCATGTTGGACAACGTTATTCAGTGTTAGTGACAGCGAATGCATCACCTGAATCAAATTATTGGATGCGTGCCAAATTTCATAAAGATTGTTTGCCAGAAAATACGAAACATCTCACAAGTACTGTTAAAGCTATGGTACATTACAAAGATTCTCTAACACAACAACCAGGTTCCGAACCCATTTCTTCTAACTCATGGGAAGATAACGTGGATGGATGTGTTGATTTGGATGCAAAGTTGTTGAAACCGTATTATCTTGAAAAGATTCCTGATGCTACTAGAAAAATCGTTTTGAAGATTGAATTCAAAGAAGATGAAAATGGCGTTGAAAGAGCTTTTGTTAATGGATCAAGTTATGTGCCGAATTTGAGAGTAAACAATACTTTGCAAAATGTTATTTCTGGTAATCATGAGTTTGGACGTAATCAAAATGTCTTTATTTACAATAATACTCAAGAAGTGGTTGATCTTGCTTTTATCAGTAAGTGTAATTTAGGAAGGGTGCAAGGATCGAGCACCATGATAACTTTACTAATAAATAATTGATATTTAGACACTGATGATGGGGAACATCCATTTCATCTGGTTAGTAAATATAAAAATGATAAAAATTAAGTTATTCTCAATATAAAAAGATTTTTAACCAATGATTTTAATATAGCATGGACATAAATTCTGGGTACTTGGGTGGGGCAATGAAACAATGTTTCCTGATTATTCAAAGCTCAATACAATCGACGCCATTCAAAGAGATACTTCAACAATACCACCTAACGGGTAATTTTCCCATCGCTGATTCTATAAAGTTTTAAACATTAATATCCTTTTTTATTAACATTAGATGGACTGTAATTCGATTTAAACCAAACAATCCTGGAGTATTTGCGTGTCATTGTCACATGGAATGTTTAAAGTTTTTCTCTGTTGTTTTTTTTTTCTTATAAAAATCGATTTACTAATTTATTATTCTTACTATCATTTAACAAAAATTGTAGGAGGTATTTTAATCATTTATTTTTAAAGTCATTTATTGGTTCATAAATGACGTAATTATTCAGAATTATTTATTGTAAGTTATTTTATTGTATAGTGGCATGTTGAGGCCGGATTACTTGTACAATTTGTTGAATTGCCTGAAGAAATTAAGAAATTAAATCCACCAAGCGAATGGTACGATTTATGTGAAGTTAAAAAAATACTATAATTTGAAATCCTTTATTGTAATATTTACATATCAACTATTTTCATGAATAAAAAGAAAAAAAAGATATATATATTATAATGCGATAAATTTTCTTTGTTCTGTTATAAGGATTTTTTTAGGCGGTTCCAACGTCTATTCTTACGTTTCAGATAGCAATATTTATTCTTAATATACGCATGCTCCATTGGGGTGTGCGGTCAACTAATTAAATCAAAACTAAATCTAGTCCTATAGTAAAATTTACTATTGAAGATTTCGTGAAACATACTTGTCGAACCCTAAATCTTTAAAGATTAATCACTTCGGTTTAAGTTAGCGATCAGACAAATTAAACTGTAAATGAATACATTATAACCTAAAAAGAACAATGTGACACCTCGCTTTCTTGAAAAACCAAGAAAAAAAAATTGTAATTTAGAGAGCTGTGCACAAAAAGATTTATTTAAGCGTAAATGAGGAAAACGAACTGACAAAGGAATCAAAGTTATTAAAGTATAAAAAGTGTATCGAATTAGTGAGAAGATTATTATAAAGCGAATTTAAACTATCGGAATTACAAAACAATCTTTAATAGTAAATATTACTAGGACTAGATATAGTTTGTTTAAATCTATGTCCAATGCTCCATGTAACAAGTATACAGTATATTTTTGATGTGCATGATTACATAAACCTTAAAACAGACAATGTTTCTATTGTGTTTTATAAGATATAAAAAGGGAATGGAATGGGATCGCAGCATTTTAACGAAATAAAAGTTTTTCCCTCATTTTAAAATTATTCATTTAACTAGTAAATGAAACTTTATCTAATATCAATTTATTATTTGTTTTGTTCATAAAATGAAGAAACACTTTGTCAAAGATTGGGTTGAGCTAATTTCAGATCCTATCACCTTGAATGAAGAGGAACAACGAGTCTTTGCACATGCTGATTTGCCCGTGGTGGATGACGAACTGTCTGTGACTTTACGGTTAAAACTTCACAAGCATAATTCCGATTGGACTAGTATTTTTCACAAAAGTAGGGATAACTACAAGAAGGAATTTATTTGTGATAGAATACAATTTCTATAACCTCGATCTCAAATGAAATACAAATATAAATACGATTTTAGGTGCCATTAGTAATATCCGTACGCCTGGATTCTGGCTCACACCAAATAAATCTTCTTTATATGCTCGCTTCACGGGCAACTGGAATGCCAATGCAGGAATTTTTGATGTTGAGATCGATGACGGACTTTTATTAAACAAATGGTACCATCTTACTTACACACTTTCTGATTCTGAAAAGAGGTTAGATATCTACGTAGATGGTGAATGGGTAGGATTCTTTGGCATCCAGGATGTTAGAACGCAAAAGGTTGTCTTCAATGATAGACCGCTGTACATCGGACGTGCTTACAACATGGGATTTAATGGCGAAATTAGGTGTGAATTTGCACATTAATATCAAAATGACAAAAAAAAAAAAAAAAAGGTTGAGATCATTTTTATCAAATAGCAACGTTCGTTATTTCAACTGGCGTTTATGTGCTGAAGAAGTGAAAGAAGATTTTTTTGTAAGATACTTTAGAGGATTTCGCATCGAAAGTTTTTTTATAATCTGCTTACCATGACAACCTTTTAAATAACATGAATTTCAGAAAAGGAAAATTGTATATGGATCGAAGGTCGCTCTTGTCCATGTGACTACTGGAAGATATTTGTCTACCAAAGGAGTCATATGCCCGCAAATTTATCAATATCTGGTATGATTATTTATACTATATACTTAATATTGTCAACTCAACTTTATTTATGAAAATTTACAAAGGCCATAGGTAATGGTAAGGAAATAGATATGAAAAATGATATTTGGACGGTTATTGGAGCCCATGATAAAAGTGTAAGTAGGGGAAGCCCAGTGCTCTTTAATACCATCATTGGTTTTAAGCATCAGGCGTCAGGAGGAAATTTACATTCCCATTTTTGGAAAATCAAACCCGAATCAAAGTATCAGCAAGGTATACTTTAAGTTAATATATACTATACGTAAATTTAAACTTACAAAATGGACTTTTAGTGACCGTCTTTCTCGGTAAAAATAATGACGACAATTGGCTTATTCGACGTCATAATTCAAATGCTTATTATGATGACTCGGATCATTTGATGAATGGTGATATAATCTGTCTTTTTCATATCAGTACTAAAAAGCCAGCACTTTACAGTCAACCCATCTTTTCTGATGATGGAACACAAGAAGTTTCTTGTTATGAAAATGGAAAAGACGAAAATAATAAGGTATATACTGATAATTTTAACCAAATTTTAAATATGATTAAGTATTAACGAATTGCTATTTTAGTGGCGGATTGAATTGATTGATTTGAATGAAATTGTGAAATAGGGTTTCAATCTTACAGGAATTATGATTGCTTTAACCTAATCACCTAAGATTTTTATTAAATAACGAAAAAAAACATTACAAAAAACCTTTGTATTTGTTAGACGAGCCAATAAAAATTGACATTTCTAATTACGTGTGGCTGAGGCCAATCGCAAAATATTTTTGAGAGTTGCCAAGTATTTATTTAGTTGTATTTTAAATATTATTTGTAATTTTAGACGACCATCACGATTACTGGTATGCGAAAGAAGATAATATGTTATGTTTTTTCAATTAGAATTTAATGCAATCGCATAATCATCAAATTCCACAGGAACCTTTATAGAAATTAAAGAATTTATTCTAAAATTTCAAAAATTTGTGTTTATTACAGTAAGTACAATTAAAACTTGATTAAAAGATTAAAAATCTAATGCACTTATACTGTCTTTTAACAACCTCTCCAAATAACCTGTAATGACTTTTTATAATCTAAATCCATCTGTTAAGAATGATTTTTCTAACGCACTACCCTCATTTTTTTTTTTGTATTGAATTCATGTGACGTATTTCATTCCACATAAATGAAATTAAGAGGCATCAATTTTATATCTGGTTTACGTACGATAAATAAGATCATATCTTTGTTTATTAACTAATTAGAAATAATTTTTAACATTTAAAAGATTTTGGAACCAAATATTCAGTAAATAGTAATTTCCTTATAAATTGCTTATTGTGTTTTAAATAAAATCAGTCTCGTTTAAAAAATGTTTTGTATGCGCATTATGGCGATAATTATAATGATAAGGCTGGATTAATTGTCGAAAGAAAATTACAATTTATTACGGAACCTAAGTGTATATATTATTATTTTATTTTATTTTATTTTTACAATCAAATTCGTAACTCTGCAGCGGACGTTTTAGTGTTTCATTGCAGAGATAATATCAGAGAACATGGTCAAACTAGCAGAAGTATGTATTATTAAATAAGAAAGATGAACCCATTTTATTTATATTCCTTAATTTTAAATCATTTTAGCAACCTTCGGATGTGATGGTTGGCACAACTCGAAAATTACCCGACGGAGGTCAATTAGGAGAAGTTACAGAGAGAATAAGTGACTTTTGTAAAGGTATTTTTGTCGATAAAAAATTTATTAATTATTTAAAAAAGTAAACTCTATAAATTTATTAAAAGAGAATTCCTATGGACAAATGCGATATCTAATTCAAGAAATTTGTCGACATGCCAAATTAATCTTGAAGAATTTTCACCGGTTTTATTACAAAATGTAAGTGATGAAAGGAGACAAAGAATGAGTACAACGCAATCTTACAACACAATCAAAACAATGTTTGACCAGATCGTTGAAAGAATTTAACGTAAAATGCGTAACCAATTGAAATTACTTTTGGAGTTGATAAAACTCCTGAAAAAAAGGGATTTAATCAATCAGTATATTTGCAAAAAAGAATTCAACAAGAATTTTCACGTATGTTAAGAAAATACTTATGAGATCAAAGTTTGGAAATCCGACGAAAGGTTTCTTTTTAAATATTCAAAAAAAAATGATGATGGTACCGTAAAATTAGCAAAGGGAGAAGAAGTTGACCATTTAGTGTTAGAATTCGACTCAGTCACCCGTTTCAAAGCACTGGGATATTTGAAATGTATTATACACGTAATTTTTCAGCGAGAACCTGTGAATGAGATTACTTAAAATTGATTGGACAGAAGTCCCATTACACTTAAGTTGTTTATTTAAATATTACTACTTTTTCATCGGAATACCTTATTTATTATTAGCAAATAATACAATAACAGCAAAAGATATATAAAAGAGTGACCACTATGTATGTATGATATGCTCGTCAGAAGTATTGAAAGATCGTCGGTTAGAATTCAAATTCCTTCGCAATTTATTATTTTTTTTTTTTTTTTTTTTTTTTTTTTAAAAAAAAAAAAACTTTGATGCCCCACGTGATAATACAGATGAGTTACTTAGTTTTTTGGTACTAAGAATCAATAATTTTAAAAAAAAATTTCATCACTTAGGTTGATGTAATTGAAGAATTCAAGACATCAATTTCAAATATCTGAATAGTTTTTTCGATTTCCTGGAGGAAGAAGATTCATTCATGGCATTAAGTCGTGGCAAATTCTGGAGTCGACTCAGTCAGTCGGTAGACCCAGAGTCGCGAATCTCATTTGAAAAAAAGGAACAATGATTATTAACATCATTTAAATCAACATATAATTTTATACTTTTTGCAACTTTAATTAAATTTTAATCTCATTCGACTAAAAAAAAATTTGAAACTTTTATTTAATTGACATTATATCAAATTTGAAAATCCCGAACTCTAAACGCTGGTATCACTAGTCCGAGTAGTAATTCTCTAAAATATTTATACAGCACTATTAATTAGTTTATACTTGGCTTTTCTTAATTAAGTTCTTTGGAATTTCTAATTTACAAAAATATATATTTTTTTTATATTTTATTAAAAATAAGTAACTTATTATTTAGACAAAACGAAATTATATTGCACAATGAATATCTTCGGTTCTACATTTGTTTCTCTTGAAAATGCTAACGAGCGTGTTGTAGAATCTTGTATACCGCATCGCCCCTGGGAAATTCTATGTACCACATTATCACTAATCGATTCCTTACTACTAATCGGTTTAATTTAATTGTGGTATTATGACAATGATAACGCATTCAATTTTCGATGCGTTCTGAAAGTTGTCATTATTTATATATCCTATTTCCATACATTTAAATAAGAAGGTTTGTTGTTATTGGAGCAGCTACTATTTTTATCTAACAGTTAAGTCTTTGAAATAATTATTATCAGCCATTTATTATTTATTTAATGTTCCATCTAGGTTAATTGCAATTTATTTTTAAATTTGAAATTTTCTTTTAAGTTTAATGATTGATGATATAGAGTATCTAGATTCGGATGTTGTATGGTTGGAAATGTTTGTAATATTAACACCATTTATAAATTATTTGTGAGAGCGTTTCAAATCTCACGTACTCATTATATATATAAATATTTATCATTATTCTTTTTTCGACACGTAAATCCCATCAGTTGTTCAACGCAATTTTTTTTTTCAATAAATCTAAATAATTTTTCTACAAAAAAATAAAAAAAAAATTTCAATTCAAATTTCAAAAACATAAATTTCTTTAGGTTTGTTTTATTCAGGTTTAAACAAAGAAAAAATGTAGGAAACAACGAAGGGACGTTATGAGTTGATATTCTAAGTACAAGATTAAGTGATTAACTTTATCTATAAAATAAACGAACATTGCATGTCAAAAGATTAGATTTTTTTTTTTTTTTTTGGCGCGATCTTGTAACACGAAAAAAAAATAAATCTCATCACGAAATCACTTTGAATGTTGACGTGATAATGCTACGCCAAGCAAGCAACAACAAAAAAAAAACTTATATAAAGTATTACTAGTCGAGTACATATAAAATAAATAATAAATAAAAATAATAAACAAATAAAATAAATAAAATGAATTATTAACATTAAATTTTATAAGAAAAAAAAATCCCCCATTTACTCTACCAATTCAACCATTATATGATACCCTAACTCATTCTCTACAATTTCACTCGTTTACCCATTTAGATAATTTCACAATTTGTTCTTTCACCGTTTGTTTACTAGTACCACCAAGACTGCACCTATTTTCGATACTTTTTTCGTAATCCCAAATTAAACTAACATCATCTTCAAAAGCTATGTGAAGTTGTTTAAAATCTTCTAGAGTTAAATTAGCCATCGTCGTGTTACGATCTTCTGCTAAACGAACTGCTTCTCCTGCAATATGATGAGTTTCACGGAATGGAACCTTCGGACGTAAACATAACATTACAAAAAAAAAAAAAAATTAGAATTGATTTACAATCATTAAAGAGAACCACCACAACGTAAATGATGATAATTACCCCTTTACGAACTAAATATTCAGCTAAATCAGTAGCCAACATATCAATACTTAGATTTTGTCTCATCCTTTCAGGATAAATCTATTAAAATAAAATTTGGAGAGGACGTTAAAACTTTGAAAGTTGAATTTCAAGCATTCCTTTTTTGACCATGATTAATACACCTGCAGTGATTTGTAAAGAACCAGCAAGCGTATCCACGGAATCAAATAATGGTTCTTTGTCTTCTTGTAAATCCTTGTTATAGGTACTTGGAAGCCCCTTATATGTCATCAAAAATCCAGATAACTAGATAATGAAAGTTGAAATTGATGAGATTTTTTTTTTTTCCTTTCGAGTTCAACTCCTTCACTACCTCCCCTCTTTTGCATTGTTCCTTACCTGCCCATAAACACGACCAGATTTCCCACGTAACAATTCAAGACTATCGGGATTTTTTTTCTGAGGCATTAAACTACTTCCAGTACTATAAGCATCAGCCAAAGTGACGAAACCGAATTCGCTTGTAGAATATAAAATCAAATCTTCGGAAAATCTACTGATATGTATCATAGTCATAGAAGACCAAAATAATATTTCAGCAACAAAATCTCTATCACTGACTCCGTATAAACTATTTTGAATGACACCTTTGAAACCTAATTCTTTTGCTAAAAATTCTCTATCAATGTTAAATGGATTTCCTGCTAATGCTCCACTGCCCAGCGGAAGTACATTTAATCTATCAATTATTTGTGATAATCGTTCTGCATCTGCTTGCCAACTCCATGCATATGTTAATAACCAATGACTCCATCTGATTGGTTGCGCTCGCTGTTTGATGTGAAGAAAGAGGAAGGAATTCAACAAATTATTAGCAATTCAAACTTTTTGAAGGGGATGAACATGGATAAGATACACGATAAACCAACCTGAAGATGGGTGTAACCGGGCATGATCACATCAATTTCTTTTTCGGCTCTTTCAACGGCAGCACCAATCAACTGTTTCAAATAAACGAGTAATTTCTTCGCTTCCTCTCTTGCCCATAACCTTAAATCAGTAGCAACTTGATCATTTCTACTTCTTCCTGTATGTAATTTTCCAGCA